TCTATCCAAACTCCAGGTCCCTTTCTGAAGAAGGAGAAATAGGCATGGTAGATCAACAGGGAATGGGTGTTTAAATGCTAGCTTTGGGGACTAGCAATACTCATTTTAAACCAATACCAAACACCAGGTAAATTTGAGAATGCTACAGGCTCATTAGTTTGATATCAGTAATAGGCAGAAAAATGGAAAATGAGGTATGGCATTCAGTCAGTGAAGAACTAAAGGACAGACATGAACAATTGTGCTAGTAAACACAATGTAGTGGAAAACATCTGTCAAAACAAACAACACTCTTTGATCACGTAACAGGTTTGACTGCTTAAACTGAATTGTATACCTATAAACATTTTTGTAAGATATTTGAGCAAACATCATACAACATTCTGATAAAAATCTGACATCTCAGAGAATACAAAAAACCCCCTATCATAGGGACTGTATGATGGCTTTGAAAGCACTGCTCTTGATGCAGGTTTTATAGTGTGAGGTGCCATAAGGATCAGCTACAGGCCCAGTGTCACTCACATACCCAGTGTATTTTCATCAAGAGCCTGGAAATACATTTGAAATCCTCACTGTAAATCATCTTAATTCAAACGAGTGAAGTATGAGAGCAGAGAGATGACAGTAACCACTCAATGGTCATAATACATTTGCTGAACTACAAAGTCCACATGAAGCACAAGAACAAGATATAGGCCAGACCAAAACTGCATGTCTTGGAATGAAATAGGAATTGCATCAACAAAATGACAGGAGCTCCCAGGTCTGTGCTTTTGCCACAAAATTGTGTCTGCTTTGGGTGTAGATGTGAGAATGAGGAGTGTTTGTGGTTGCCACAAAATTGTGTCTGCTTTGGGTGTAGATGTGTGAGTGGGGTGTGTTTTTAGCTCTGTGTACAGGCTCAGCAAGATCAGCACTGGGCTGCTGCCTCCATGGCTGTGTCTCCATGTGTCCCCTGTATAAAAAGGCTGTTAAATTCAGAAGATGAGTAAAATGTGAAGATTTTTAATCTAGCAGAAAAATACATAATAAGAATCAGCTGCTGTAGCACAGACTATTTGGAGACTGTTATAGATATTTCAGAGCAAACAGATTATCAAGAGGGAAATAGTGGCTTCTCTGTCACTTAAAGCCTGAAGGAGTTTAAGGATGCCTAACTCAAACCCAGATCATTGGTCTCACAAATGGGTAAGCTAGGGAAGAGTGCATATTCTGTGTTATGAGGAACAAGACTATTTTTTCTATTAGTTTCATGTCATCCTAGGTCATCTGATCTATAAACACATCCAAATAGGATGTAGTAGAAAATCAGAAGAAGCTACATCCTGATTTTTTTTGTACTGGATTTTTTTCATTGTTCTTACTTTTCTGATTGTGCATAAACATGCAATACATATGAGGAGTACATTATTTAAAGAACAGACCAGATTCTAATCTGTACTCAGGACTAATCATTTCATGAGTTGCCAGGAATTAAATTATTTCCCTAATATGTGGTGTAAAAATATAATCTTGCTGCACATCACAGTGTGCCTGACTCCTGTAAGCACTCCTCCCTGTTTCCTCTGGCTGGCAGAGGTGTCACAGCTGTTCATCATACTGAAGGCAGACCATGCCAGTAGAGTCCTACAGGGATGCTGGTGATGCACACTTAAAGCCAGTACTGTGCAGTGATAGTTTTGCTCCTCCAGATCTGGGAGCCAGTGGGACAGAAAAACTCAAAGAAACAGAAGGAGAATGAGCTAAAGGGCTACAAAGTCCATGCAGTGCCCTGGGGTATACACGTGGTGGGAGGCCAGTGGTCCACAGGCCCATGTGTTGGGAATGTCACCGTCTGGCATGTTGGCAAAGATTTGTGGCAAAGACACATTTCCAGTATTTAATTTAATTAAAGTTTTAATAAGAGTTTGTGTGGAGAGAAGTGGAGTTATGTTACTCTTGCATGATTATAAGCCACTAGGAAGTAGGTACTGTCACCAGCACAGAGGTTGTCATGGGATTCCTGCTTAAGTTTGGATAGGCCATAGCACTGCCATGTGCCTTCATCTCCCTATCTGTAAAATCAGAAATCAAGCTCATCCTCCTTACAGGGAGCACTGAGGTCAGCATGATGTTAAGAGTGCAGCCTTGGCAGACTGGAGGGGATGCCTTTGGTTCCCTTAGTCTGAGTGTCTAAAAGGTCTATTATCTCACAAACTTGTAGATAAAATTGTTGAGCTGTGACTGTTAAAAACAAATGCTCTCTTTATAGCTGGTCATCTCCAGACATTTCTGTGTAAAAGTTCTTGGTCTCCTGATAACTTGCAGTATTTATTTCCTAGGCTTTCCAGAAGTGCTCTTTTGTGGATGTAAACTCAAACAGTCATGCTGAACAGTCCAGAAATGATACACATGTTAAAGACATAAGGCCTGGGACTTTAATGCATCACAAGGAAAAGAAGGTAACAAGTGGCAATTGTAAAAATGCCACCCGGTCTTGGCATAACCTTCTTTCCTTCAAAACTAATCTTATATTTTGTGTCCTGTTCTCTTTAATCCCCACCCACCACTGCTCAGTGGTTTCCTTCCTTTTATCTCAGTAGTACTCAGAAATACTGACATAGAATGTTACATTAAACTACACTATGTGTCTCATCAGCAATTATGCTATGGCTTCATGAAGTTTTATGATTCTGTGAAATCAAAATTAAAAGATCCATCAGTTTCTACCAAAGAGATGCTCATACTCCATAGAACATCCTTGCTGTACTGTTCTGCCAGTGGATGGTGAAGCATCTTTCCTAAGCTTGATTCTCCTTGAGGGGAATTAATGGCTCCTCTCAGTCTCTTGAGCCAATTTAGAGAATTCGTGCTTTGTTTTGTTTTAATTGTTAGTCCCAGAAATAGTTATTGGATATTCAGAAATCCTATTCAGTTTATTGGATGACAGAGCCAAAATGGATGGGTGGAATTTGCCCTTATGCTGAAAGTTAATGCCCAAAATTCACTCTTTGGTCATGGGACTTAGAAATGGTGCCATGTGTGTGGGGCTGTAGCCAAGTTGGGATGCATGTCACAGCTGTGTCTGGACAGGAGTTGCCAATTTTGTTGATTGGTCTTAGTGGACAGCCAATGTGCAGGACAAGAAAAGAACAAATATTTCTGCCCTTTGGAGACTTCTTTACATTTACAAATAATGAGTTGTGTGGTTATGGTTAATGCTGGGTTTAGGGGGTTGTGCAGGCATGACAACTTGTCAACCCAATGCCAGTTTGCAATGAAGGTGGGTATGGTGATGAAGGAAACAGTTTTTCAGCACAGCATTTCAACTTTGTTTTGCATTTAGCGTGTGTATGCAAGTGCTGCCAGGTCAGGGCATTGTGCTCAAGGACTTGGCTTGGAGCTGCCCAAACAGCAATTCTGGTCTAAAGCTGTGCTCACGTGGCTGACTGAGGGTACAAGTCCATGGGTATGAAGGAAAACTGAAAAAAATGCTTTGCTGTGGTGTGTGATAGTGTTACAGAGAAAAAAGGTGTGAATTTATCCTCATTACTACTGGTATCAGAATGAGAAGATCATATTGTTACACGAAATCCTGTCCACTCAGGACACTGCACATCCTGTAACACAAACATTTCTTTGAAAGGTGCTGCCAAGTAATTGCCATAAACTGCTGTTTATTTGAATAACAAAGAGTCCAGGAAATTAAGGTTAATGAGATCTGGTTTTGCCACCTGAAATGACAGTGTGTTTATTGGCTTTAAATATGGAACATTACGGTCATGATAAAGTCATAGAGGAAATGAATTTTATTGTGGTTTTATTTTTTTAGTAGAGAGGACAAAGTTCCTAAAATTAGATATATTGTATAATGACACCACAGGATGTTGCATTGATGCTTGGAACAAGAAGTAGAACTTGCTAAAAAAGATACAGTCAGCACATCCACAGGCAATAAGTGCTGTTAAGTGACTTGGCCCAGTTTGGCCGGGGGGGCTGACATGGAATGGGACTGGAAGGCACTTACCACTTGGCAGGTTGGGTCCTGAGGGGATCACAAGCCCTGGTGTTTTGTTCTGATACCAGCTCTCAGCACACAGTGCCAACAGTGTCAGCCTGCCTGCTGGTGCCTCACTGCCTGTGCTGGTTGGCATGACAGCTCCTCCTTATTTAGAAATCCAAGGGATGTCAAGGTATACCATGGAGCAGCTGGTCAGCCTTGTTACTGCTGAACAAGCCTTTGTAGAGCTGAACTGTGGCTCTGGTCTATCACTGTCTTTCTGCTGTGTTTTGATTGTGTGTAAAGCTTTTCTGTGTAAAATCCTCAGACAGTATGTAAGAAAATATCACACAAGGCATAGAAACTATACCTGATGGATCTCAGTATGCATGGGGAGTGCATGCACTAGCCAACCTCTGGATTTTTGTACTGTCACTCATTCATCTCAGGTCAGCTCCTGACTCTTCTGCACATTGTGATGCTCATATAAGTGTAATCTGTCCTTTTGGTGTGTTAGGAGTCAGCTCCTAGTCTCAAGCAATGTCAGCAGTAACATTTTTGGTTAACTGCCTTCAGGCACTTGAGGCCAAATCAGTTTGTTTCTTGGTGTGCCATCTTTTGACTGTAGATTTCCCTCTTGCCCGTTCATAGGCATGGTGTCTCCTCAGGTCATTCCCTCATCCTGATAATTGCTGTTTATCCTAAGTTTTCACTAGCACTTAAACCAAGCCCCAGAGAAAAGCCTGATATTATAAACCAGCATCTTCAGGGGTCCTCACTTTAAAAGAAAAAAGTCCCCTTAAATTTGAATTGCTGGCAATATACTACTTTCAGTCTACTGGATTATCTCTCTGTGTGGTGTTTGGAGTTTCTGCTATAAGTGAATGTAGCTCAGTGTTTCATTCTGCACTTCCACAGACACTGCAGGGTTGTAATTTTGAAGGAACACTTCTAAGATGCAGCAAGGATTTAAAAGTGCTCAGGCTGTGCTGATATTAACTGTGATGGAACAGCGTTGCTCAGGTGTGAGCAACATTAGAAGCAGGAAAATGCAACCTGAAAATCAGTTTTTACCAGTATAAAACCTCCTTTCAAGGCGAGCCAGACTCTTGCTTGCATTTGGCTCTCCGGAGAGCGGCCCTGCTGTCAGCCCTGCCACATCAGGCTCCCTTTGATGTGTCCCAGCAGAACTTAATCAAATACTGTGAATCTTTTCAACTTCAGTCTTATTAAAAGAAAAAAAAAAGATTTTATTTTTTTTCCTTTAGCTGGGGAGGAGAACAGGTCAAGGTAGCACTGTATTGGAAATGAGATAATTAGCATGCTTTTGCATATTCTGGAGACCTTGTTAAAACAAGGTAACATCCCATCCCGACCACATGCATAGCACAGTGCAATGACATCGTGCACTGGTCTGCCAGAATTTGGAATTTTGCCCTGAAGAAAGGCAGGAATCAGATGACAACTTCAGACATGTCTCTGCAGCAGTAAATGGAGTGGTGAGTTCATGAGGTCTGAGCTTCCCCTGAGAATATGCTGATTAATTTTGGGGGAAAAAAAAAGTCCTGTAAAAGCCCTAAATAACTAAGTAATCCGACTTTCCCCCTTAGGTGTATGGGGCTACAACAGGATCTCCCACAGATAGTGACCATCCTAAAGAGAAGAGGGAAGGGAAAACTGAAGAAGAATTGGGTTCTGATTCATCCAGCACAGCTGACAGTAAAATTGGCTTTTCAATGAATGACAGTCCTACATTTAGCAAGGGTTTGTTTGTAGACAGTACAGACTATTCTAACAAAAACCTTCAGAATATGAGCACAAACCTGTCTGGTGTCAGTTTGCCAGAGGATGATAAACGAAGAGGGGCCCAAGATATTTTAGGATCCCATTTTCCAGCTGGTGAAAGTGGAAAACAAAAGCCAAGCTACAGACTCTCGAGGGATGCTCAGCAGTGCCTGTCACAGGGTGAAGCCTTGCAGAGCACGGGCAAACATACCCCCACCAGCAGCACTGCCCCTCTTGTGAGGCACACGCAGGAGGCTACAGGGCCTCAGCCTTCCTCACAGGGGCAAGAGGTTTCTGCAGCCAATTACAATCAGGTTGTGCTGAGACCCAAATTGTCCAGAAGTAACAGTGTGAACAGCATTGAAGAGATAGACTCTCCAGCCAGCTCTCCAAGTGAAGACAACCCACCCACGGAAAACATTGCCTTCATGATTACTAAAACAGCTGTCCAGGTCCTCTCGAGTGGGGAAGTTCACGACATAGTCAGCCGGAAAGGTGGAGATGTGCAAACAGTGAACATCGATGCAAGGAAGGATGTGGCCTCAGAGAAGGGTATCCCAGAAAACACAGACAGCGAAGAGCCAGTGGTGTGCCTGGACAAAAAACCTGTCATCATCATTTTTGATGAACCGATGGATATTAGGTCGGCGTATAAGAGGCTTTCTACGATTTTTGAGGAATGTGATGAGGAGTTGGAAAAAATGATGACAGATGAGAAGATAGAAGAGGAAGAGGAGGAGGAGGAAGAACATGAAGCACATGAAATCTCTGAGAACCAGAAGGAAGAGTCCCCAGTACTCAATGACAGAACAGCAGCCACAGAGCATTCAGCAGCTCACGGTCTGCAGGAGCCGTGCCTGGATAACCTTCAGCCCGACTCTGCAGACAGCAGAGCTCCTGCAGAAGAGGAAAGCACAAAGGCAAAGATTAACAAATTCCGTCAGATCTATGGGCTAAACACAGAAGCAAACTTGGACTCTGTTGACCAGTTTGGAAGCAGGCAGGATTCTAAGAAAAAATTTAAGTTTAAATTCCCTAAAAAGCAGCTGGCTGCTCTGACACAGGCAATAAGGACAGGAACCAAGACTGGGAAGAAGACCTTGCAGGTTGTGGTCTATGAAGAAGAGGAGGAAGATGGGACCCTGAAGCAGCACAAGGAAGCAAAGAGATTTGAAATCACTAGGCCTCAGCTTGAGGAGAGTGACAAAAGTGACAAAGGTCCACCTGGGAAGCAAGAGGGACCCTCTGGAGCTTCAGTGTCCCTGTCTAGGACTGATGAAATTCGACAGAGTACATACAGAACACTAGACAGCCTTGAGCAGACTATAAAGCAGCTGGAAAACACCATCAGTGAAATGAGTCCAAAACCTGTCCCTGAAAGCACATACACCTCTGAGGGAAGCACTGTCCCCTTCTCTGCCCAGATAGTACCAGAGAGCCCATCCCGAGAGCGTGTAGTGCTGGATGAGAGCCTTGCTGGCGTAGAGCCCCCTGCATCAATCCCAGCCACTTCACGTAAGGTATCTTAGTCTGAAAAATCAAACCTCCATCCGCTTTCTAAAAATCTGCAATAATCACCATTAAACACGAGGGTCTTGTGATTTGTTTGCTTCCTTTCAGGTGGCTTGTTTGGGCTCCCCACAAGGTGTCTAACAGCTAATAGACCATTGGTTTTTGGGGTTTTTTTAATCTTTGCTGCTGATTGGTGATGGGCAAATGCAGGGGAGCTGGGTCCAATAATCTGCTGTGTGAAATGACAAGCGTCACTGACATGAAATCCAGGCTGATCAGTAGCTGAGAAGTTTTCTCCATTTGATTCTGGAAATTAACACCTGCGGTGTGAAGCTCCTGAACTTTCCCTGCATGTAGTACTGTGGCTTTATTTTTTGGCGCATGGTGTGCAGTCCTCTCCTCGAGCACTCCGGTACTGATCACACCTTCTCCTTGTTTCCCCTCCCTGCCCCACTCCTTTCCACAGGGCTCCAGCAGCGCGTCCCAGACAAGCCGGATGCCAGTCCCCATGGCTTCAAAAACTAGACAAGGAAGTATGGAGAAATCAGGCAAACAGCACAAGCTGCAGGATCCACGCCAATACAGACAGGTAGTTTTACCCTAAACCAGTGTTTGGATGGACATTTCATGTTGTTTATTTATAAACTCCAGTAACTGACTGAGATTATACCAAATATCGGATGCCTGAGGTCTAACTGGACGTCCTGGATCCTGGGGGCATGACAGTTATCTACTGATCTTTTCACCATGCTTGTGCATGCATGTCTGCAATAAAACACCTGCTGCTTTTTTTTTCCTCCTTTGGGTTTGGTTTTTTGTTTGGTTGGGTTTTTTAACTGTGGTATTCAGCTGTAATTTTAAGATGTCAACTACCTGTTTACTTTCCATTTGGTGAATGTGGTGGTTCCTTAGGAGAACCAGGAATGCTTCTGTTCAGAGAGTGTTTACAGGAAGCCTCAGACACTAACCTGTTGGTGTATAGGTGGCAGTAGGTGCACATTAACTCTCCAGCTGGACATGTCTATTCACACGTTATAACCCACAGCATGGCCCACGTAGTGACTGGTCTGTAACCCATAGAACATGCCTTCTCACAACGCTCTGTTGGCTCTTTCTCTCTCTCTATGCACTCTTTGTTGGGCACTTTGGGTTTTCTACCAGGTCCAGTCCATGGCTGCAAGACTTAGCTCAGGCCTCGAACTGTTAATTCTGATTCTCTGTAGGGCTGTTCTCCCAGGTCCTGTTGGTTTATCATGTTACTGGCTTTCTGACAAACTGTCTCCTGCCATCTTTATTTGCAGGCTAATGGAAGTGCTAAGAAAGCTGGTGGGGACTATAAGGCTACTTCCCCTACCCTACCTGCTTCTAAGATCCCAGCCTTTTCTCCCACTTCTGGGAAAAGCAGCTCAGCACCTGCTTCTAGCGGTGACAGCTCTAACCCTCTTAATCCACCTACTAAAACCTCCATTCCTTCCTCCACCCTTCTCGGTCCTCAGACAGGTCGCATAACTTACTCTACCTCCCTCATCCCCTCTGTCTCTAACGGCTCCTCCAAGTTTCAGAGCCCCACTTACCCAGGGAAAGGTCACCATCTCTCCTTCTCACTACAGACTCAAAACGGCCGGCCACCCCCTCCTTCCTCCTCTACCTCCCCCCCTTCCTCTATCTCCCCCCCTTCCCTGAACCAAGGTATGAAGAGCATCAGGACAATCCACACACCTAGTTTCAACAGCTACAAGGCACAGAACGGGAATGCCAGCAAGTCCACCCCATCCACGGTCAAGGAGCCATCCTAAAGGCTAAGCACAGCACACCTGCCAGGTCACCAAGGCTTTCCTTCATTGTCCAAGAATCCACAGCCAATATTTTAACCAGGGAATATAACCGTTTTGCTGTATTGCTGGAGGCTTAATACTAATCATGTGCTAAATACTGAATTACTACACTAGATTAGAGTGAAGCTTTTTGGAAAACTGTTGCTGTTGCAATGATAAAAGAGCAATTTCTTCCTATAGGCAGCACCTCTTAGAAAAAAGTGTGAAGGTGTGTGTGTGAACTTGACTGCGTGTGCACAACGGTGTACTGAGCATGGGGAATTGTATGGTTAAAAAATTTACTAAGTTGTTTTGTATAAAGCTATTTTTCATTATGGGGTCTAGAAGTGAACAGAGATATACTAAAAGTGTGATTATATTCAACTGTAAAACTGAAACTAAAATATTTTTCTTTTATTTTGGTGTTATTTAGCTTTGTTACAGATTTCTATTTTTGTCAACAAATGTCATGGTTCCTTTCGAGATCTTTTTGCCAAAACATTTTGATACTATTGTAATGTACATTTGAAAGTAGTATGCTGGACAGTAACCTCTACACAAGAAACAGCACAAGACTGGTCTTACATGTGTATGAGGCAATTCAACCTATTGCACTGCCATTCAAATTATATTTAAGAATTTGCCAGCCAAGGAAAAAAATAAATTGTTTTACACATATAGGTAGTTGCTGATTACTTTTTTTCTTAGCTAACTCCACCCTTTTTCCTTCAGTTTTATTTTACTGAGACCTGGTAGCCCATTAATGTATTGCATTGTGGATTTTAAAATGTACACTTCAGTACTGTTCTGTATACCGGCAAACTTTTGTACATATCTATAAATATCTATAAATAAATAAATACTGTATGTGGCTGGGCACATAGAGTAGTTTTACCACACCAAAGTTAATTTTTATGCATGCTTAAAAATATATATGGGGAAAGGTTGAAAGAGATGGATATCAGCTAAATAGAAGAGCGAGAAGCTTGCACAGCTCATGGTTTTGTAAATAAATTTATTTGTATAACACCATAATGTAATATACAGAACTATGATAAGCAAAGATCTTTACAAAAATAAAGGGCTGCATGCTTATGGATTTGTATTTTTGTCACTAGTAACTTTGTGGCAGGTCTCATAGCTGTTTGCTTGAGAGCATTAAACCAGCAGTAGAAAAACTGATTTTATTTTCCCAAGATTAAAGCCATACATAATTATTAATTTTAAAATGGGGTCTTTCAAATTTATGTGGACAAAAGCTAATTGCTGGAACTCCAAGTTAGAAAACTAGCAAGGAAAGAAAAACTTTTGACTGATGTATGAATGTATGTATGAATACCACCTTTAGGTACTTTTTGGTTTATTCCTTCTTGTGAAAAGGGAAGTTTCTTACAAGTGCCATTTCAAGGCTGTGCCTTCAGATGTTGCATCCCATGCAGCTGAGTAACTAGAGAATGTAAATGTGATCTCATACCTCACAAACACAACACACAGGCTAGTCCCAGCCAGCTCATGCCCAGTACCATCCCCTGCACTGGCACACCAGCAAAGCCCCAGGCACATGCAGAACACAGGAGCTTCAGTGTCAGGCTGAGCCAAGCCCAGGACAAGCTGGGTAGCTCCAAAGCTGAAGTGTAAGGTGCAGTTCAGAGTGCCCACACTGAACCACCAGAGTGAAGCCAGTTCTCTCCCAGCCAGTATGGAACAGCAGTGACTGGTGGCTGCAAAGCCTGGTCTGTTTCCTACTTTCTCATGCACTGAGTACATGACTTCTTTGCTCAAATGCCATAGCTTGTTACCAGGTCTCCCCCCAAAACACACACAGAGCACCAGCAGGTTGGGTACCACACTCCTACACAGCCAAAATGTAAGCTCAAGCTAAATGATGAACAGAGCAGGTTTGGTTCTTCTAGTATTAGTCCAGTGTTCCCCAGGGATCAGACACTCAGTAAAAAACAGTAACTTGCTATTACCTGATGCTCTGTAAGTGCATGGGAGCTGTCTCCCATGAGCCATCACAGAGGCAGGGGAGAGTCCCCAGTGGCTCTGGAACTGCTCCCACAGCTGCTTCTCACAGCCCCTTCAGGTGAGGGACTACAGCTGCACATTCTCCCATATCTGGCTGAATTTAGACACAGATTGTAGTTGTATGAATAACCAACCACCCTGCACAGTCCCTGGAGTGCACTGGGCAGTAAGGCAGTGCCATACTCACAGGTAATTATTGCTTGTGGTGGTGAATGTGGAAATTGCCATCAGGGAGTAAACAACACCTGCCTGTGGCCTTAGCTGCACCATGACCTGCACATTTGCCACTTTCTGTGCACCTGCTCAGTGCTGGGGTGCAGCATCCTGCCAGGAAACCAGCAAGAGGCTCAGCCAGCACAGACAGTGCTGCTGGGACCAGCAGGAGTCATAGAATGATCAAGGTTGAAAGAGACCTTTAAGATTATCAAGTGCAACTGGCCACCTAACACACTACTACTGTAACCCCCAAAGCACTAAACCGTATCACCTAGATCCAGACACCTCTTAAACATCTCCACGTGGTGTTTTTTCCCTCCCCATCCTGCTTATACAGCAACAAAGGTGCCAGGCTTTCACAAACACAGGCAGGGAAGGATTGTGCACAGGCTGTATCTCAGCACCAGGAATCCTTCTGAACACTGGGCAGAGTACTGAGAAAAATCATCATGTCTGTAAATAAATTCCTTGAGCACAGAAGAAATCAGCAGAGGCCACCAATGAAAATGCATTGTTTCTCACTGCAAACCAGTTATGAAGAGCAGCTCTGGTAGAGGTGGCTGCAGCTGGAGTTTGGGACAAGAGCCATGGGGCAGGTACCACTCCAGCAGGGGCTCTGCACTGGCAGAGCAGCCCCAGCCCCACTGCTCTGAAAAAACAGTAGTGAAGCAGCTCACCACTCCCTTTCAAGGCTGAAGGAGCTAGAAAGAGAGCAGGACCTTCTGCTGTCTCTTGCAGTTGGAGCCAGCCCAGGACTTCATAGCAGAGCAAGCACCAGCAGATTCCTTCTATGGGGGGGACACGAAAATGAAGTGACACAGCACTCAGCCCCTGCACTGGGCAGGACATGGAGGTGGGAAGGCAGAGCAGAAGAGGATGCATCCAGCAGAAAAAAATGAGGGATGCACAGGACCTTTCTGCCTAGGAGTGTAGAGTCAAAATGAATCTGATCCCCACTAAGAGGCAGCTCTTCCTGCATGCTTGAAAACTCAGGGTTTGGATAGCAGATGGTTAAGGCAGATTTTTACAGTCTCATGACCACAGGTACGTGCATCACTTCATGATGGCAGGTCTGTTTTAAGCCATTTTCCCTCCCTGCCACACATCCCACACCTTTCTGTAGGCTGGCACAATTGATTGCTACCTAAATGAAACCAGTGTTAAGGACCTGGCCTTGAAAACAAGATCACAGCCTTTTGTAGCAGATGAGGCTACATTTTAAAACCCTTTCACCCTGCCTAGACCAAGTGCAGAGGTTCTCCACAGATGCTGCAGACAGGAACCTGAGACCCTCATGTGCAGCTCAGCAAAGGAATTTCTTTCAGCTCTGCAGCAGCACAAAAGAAGTTAAGAAACTGTCTGAACTGTGGTTGTATCTTAATTCCACATTATCAGTGCTGTTAGCAATACTAATGGGTTAATAGGCCCTTTAAAGTCTTAAAAAGCAGTCCTATAGCACCTTCCAGCTACCAGACGCCAGAAAAGGCAATTCAGACTAAACTTACCAGTCCCCACTGAGGCAGGAACTACTGTTTGAATCTGTAAAAAAAAACTTTTTTTTTTTTTTTCATTTGTAAAACCCACTAATCTTTAAGAAACACTATTGCCACCCACACAGTTCATACTTTCATTATTTCCCCTTCAGATCTCAGCTTAGGCCTATCCCTAACAACTTGCAGCTACAAGTAGTCCTCAGACCAGAAGTACTTTCCAAGCCAGTTTGAATCCTTCCAATAATGACAAATAAGGATACAAAAAAAATGGGCACAAATGGCAATACTAAGAAAACCTGCTTAAACATAAAAATGCCTCTTTTTACTGTAAGCAAACACTGGCACAGGTAGCACAGGGAGGTTGTGGAGTCTTCATCCTTGACAATGGTCATAACCCAACTGTAGCCCCAGCCCAGAACAACCTGCCCTAGCTGCACCTGACTGAACTGGGGGTGGACTAGGCAATTCTCAGAAGTCCCTGTCAACCTCACCTGCTCTGCAACCCTGTGGAGCTGTCCATCCCACTGAATCCAGCTTCCAGAGGAAATACTGGCACTAACACTATCTACCTCAGGACAGTTTTTTGCATGCATGCACTTGCCTTCTTAAGTCAATCAGACTGTGACCCTTTCTCTTCCATAGGAAGGAGGGGGCAGGGAGGGAAACAAAGGGAAAATGAATAACACCAAGGCAATAAAAAAGCACTACAGATAAGGGGCTGAGGTAGTTGCTGTTAAGATCAGGGCACAGCAATGACTCCCAAAAACATCTGCCATCTCAGCTGCCACACTGGCTGAAATTTAAGGTGGCCCCAAATCCTGGCAGCCTACGAAAGAGCAGAAAAGGCATCAGTGTTTTTCCAGCCTCAGATACACAGTCACACACTACTTTCTGCAGGTGGAGCTCAGTAACCTCCTCTCCCTGACACACCTGACAGATTGCTCCCTGCACCTCCCCTTCAAGCCAAGGCCTTCACCAGAGCTTCCCTGCCTCCCACTGACTGCCACGTTACCTCCTCCAGGACCAGATGCACACGTTTTTTGTGGCCCAAATGGCTTTAATCACATCTCACATCCTCATGGATATCCCTGACTGATGTCCAAGCTCCATCTGCAACTGCCCTGCACCTTCCACCACTGCCACTGCAGCAGCAGCTATAGTACCATGAAGGCTGATGAGGCCTTGAACTTGTAGCTGCAGCATTGGCAGCCAATGCAACTCCTGTTTTGTGTGTTTGCTTTGGGT